AAAGTCAAGATATTACAGTTTAAAGGTGAGAGATCACAGCTCACAGTGAAAACCTTGTAGTTGAAAATAAGGACCACACAACTCAAAATTTAACACAGCAGCACTGAAAGAAGACAATAAAAATCAAAATTTGGACAGCAGTATGTGAAAAACATTTAAACTTACAAGGCTAGCAACACACTATCATGAAACAAATCAATCAGAACGACACAATAGATTAAATCTATCAGTCCCGGAAGGTCACTACTGATGTCTGAGCCAGCAATAACAATGTTAAAATGGGTATTCTACATCCACAGGGTTTAAATATGCAACCCTTGCAGGAAACAGATCTACTGAAGTGTGCTAGTATGCTCTGTCTAAATATGAGATATAGAAATATACACAACATGCTGACTGTTGAACACAAGCAATTTTCAATCAATAATCACATGTGATACACTATTTGGTACTTAAAGACTTGACACAACTGGGACTACAAGAAACCCAGACATGGGTTATGCAATCCAGGTGGACAGTCACAAAGACCTAGTAAACAAAACCAAACGTGTGTAACAACAGTAACACTGCAGCTATGTACACAATGATATGGCAAGCAACGTATACGAACATACAAAAATGACATTCAGGTTTGTCCCACACATCATCAACAGCTTGAATCAACAGTCAGCTGTTATTCTGGTAGGAGACAGTGCTGACACAACCAAAGGATGCCTTGTGCATTCACTTTGCATGTGCGAGCATCAAGATTTTGCTGGGACTGATGTTTTTCCCTAGTTTTTTCAAATGGGACAGTGAAGAACATTTTGCGTGATTTCCTCACTCTAAGAGGCTGTGTGCAGCTTACAGCCAGTTGTTCACTGGAGAAAACCTCATCCGCTGGCAGATCTGAACCTAGGATCATGTCACCTGCATGCTAGTGTGCTAGCCACAACACCACACAAGAAGATATGGTGTACAGGCACATGGAGAAACCTGCAGGCACCAGATGACCCAGATAACACACAGCTGTAAGCTCTCTGGGAGGCTATAAACACACACTTCTTATCAGACACTGTCAAGTGCCAGGCTGGGCAGTGCAGGCATTAGCTTGCTCCACATGCTTCTGTTTCTTGTTGCCTTGAAACGCCCCAGCCGCGACTGCTGACTGTACAGCTTCATCACCCTATATAACAACTCTCCCCCCCCCCCCCTCCTCATTCTTTAACGCCCTCTCCTTCTCCAAAACCCTCCATATTTCAAAATTCCCAGCAAACAAGACAGAGATGGTTATGTATTTATACCAAACACAGTGGCACCTTGATATATGTTCGCTTTGGTATTTGTTCAATAGCCTACATTCAACTTGGTATACATCCTTTTTAGAGGTAAAAACATTTGCTATCTGTGTTTACCTATCTCAAGACAAAGCCATGGATGGACACCAACAACTTTGCAGGGAAGTATCACCCCAGATAAAGCCTTAACAATCTGTAACAGCATGATCTGGAATGGATGGTCAGATAATGTCACATTTCTGAAACATCCTGAAAAGGCTGGAGCAAAGTTCTTTGGAGAGATTTTTAGTCAAATTCAAACACAGCGAGTCTCAACCAGGACCCAGTACCAACAAAAGACAGGGGGAAAAAAAGAGAAAAAACACCAGAATTTCATATTCCTGAAATCTTGTTATAAACAATAACATAAGTACCTTCTTTCTGTTCAGTACCATCCTAGTAGGCACTTGACTCCTAGCAAGATAAAGTGATGTTGAATTGTCATTAATTTCAGCTAATTTATTTTGTATTTGTTGTATTTTAGTATTCATCATTATTATCCTCTGCGTTCTGTTAGACGTGACGTATGGCTCAGATTTGATTCCTCCACTGTGCTCTACTGCATGCAACTCTCTCCATTTCTGACATTTTTGTTTTATTCAGTATAGAAATGATTTTATGCAGCCCCATCAATGTGCAATATGTCAATAACAACAGGATCGCCTCCCGCTCATCTCCCCGCCATGGAAATGGAGTAATCGATCTCCTTTTATTTCTTACAGGGAAAATGGTTTGGTATATGTCCCATCTGGTATACTTCCAAAGATCAGAAACAGATTAACAGATTAAGTATGTATACCAACATACCACTGTATATCACACCGACATACCACTGTATATCACAATCATCATGTAGCAGACCCTTCACACACTGTCCCTTCTATCATGGCTGCCAGTGGAAACAACCCAGTCCCTACTATCATGGCCGCCAGTGGAAACAACCCAGTCCCTTCTATCATGGCCGCCAGTGGAAACAACCCAGTCCCTTCTATCATGGCCGCCAGTGGAAACAACCCAGTCCCTTCTATCATGGCCACCAGTGGGAACAACCATGTCCCTCATATCATGGCCGCCAGTGGAAACAACCCAGTCCCTTCTATCATGGCCACCAGTGGAAACAACCCAGTCCCTTGTATCATGGCCGCCAGTGGAAACAACCTAGTCCCTACTATCATGGCCACCAGTGGAAACAACCCAGTCCCTTCTATCATGGCCGCCAGTGGAAACAACCCAGTCCCTCATATCATGGCCGCCAGTGGAAACAACCCAGTCCCTTCTTTCATGGGTGCCAGTGGGAACAACCATGTCCCTTCTATCATGGCCGCCAGTGGAAACAACCCAGTCCCTTCTATCATGGCCGCCAGTGGGAACAACCATGTCCCTTCTATCATGGCCACCAGTGGAAACAACCCAGTCCCTTCTATCATGGCCGCCAGTGGAAACAACCCAGTCCCTTCTATCATGGCCACCAGTGGAAACAACAAAGTCCCTTCTATCATGGCCGCCAGTGGGAACAACCATGTCCCTCATATCATGGCCGCCAGTGGAAACAACCCAGGCCCTTCTATCATAGCCGCCAGTGGGAACAACCATGTCCCTCATATCATGGCCGCCAGTGGAAACAACCCAGGCCCTTCTATCATAGCCACCAGTGGAAACAACCCAGTCCCTTCTATCATGGCTGCCAGTGGGAACAACCCAGTCCCTTCTATCATGGCCGCCAGTGGGATCAAACATGTCCCTTATATCATGGCCGCCAGTGGAAACAACCCAGTCCCTTCTATCATGGCCACCAGTGGGAACAACCATGTCCCTCATATCATGGCCGCCAGTGGGAACAACCATGTCCCTCATATCATGGCCGCCAGTGGAAACAACCCAGTCCCTTCTATCATGGCCGCCAGTGGGATCAAACATGTCCCTTATATCATGGCCGCCAGTGGAAACAACCCAGTCCCTTCTATCATGGCCACCAGTGGGAACAACCATGTCCCTCATATCATGGCCGCCAGTGGGAACAACCATGTCCCTCATATCATGGCCGCCAGTGGAAACAACCCAGTCCCTTCTATCATGGCCGCCAGTGGGAACAACCATGTCCCTCATATCATGGCCGCCAGTGGAAACAACCATGTCCCTCATATCATGGCCGCCAGTGGAAACAACCCAGTCCCTTCTATCATGGCCACCAGTGGAAACAACCCAGTCCCTTCTATCATGGCCGCCAGTGGGAACAACCATGTCCCTCATATCATGGCTGCCAGTGGGAACAACCCAGTCCCTTCTCAGTTCCCCTGCTTCACGTATTTCCATGCCTAAGCTGATTCTGAAGATCTGTGGCCATGTTGTGCTGGTTTACCCCTGCCTGTTCTTCTAGGAATCCACCTCACACTTCACTTCTGCCTAAACAGTGTTTACGCTGGCTGAAGCATTTCAGTTTCCGAGATATGACAGTTTATGAGATAGTTTCTTGCACACCATGAAAAAAGAAAACCAATATATTTTTAAAATGCAGTCAGTCCTGGCAAGGTCAATATTATGAGTCATGCATGCAGATCTAACACTGGAAGTGCTGTCATGCAAAATATAGGGGGAATGAAATAGAACAACGTGAATGTCCAAATGAGCTGGCATTCTGCTTACTTCTGATATGCATGCTAGAAGTCTGAGAGTCATGATATACACACACTGGAATATTAGTAGTGCATGATCCAGGAGCTAGACTTGTGGTCATGTCACCATCAACAGCTCTGTTTGGATACACAGACTGGAAATGTGGTAGTAATTTCAGACAAACGTGAAGTCACACTGGTGATAAAATATATACATTGGAATCCTGGCATCTCCTGCTACACATATTATACCCTCCAAGTCTTATGATACATGGGACAAAATCCTGCCAGTCTTATGATACATGGGACAAAATCCTGCCAGTCTTATGATACATGGGACAAAATCCTGCTAGTTCTTATGATACATGAGACAGAATCCTGCCAGTTCTTATGATACAAAGGACAAAATCCTGCTAGTCTTATGATACACAGGACAATCCTGCTAGTTCTTATGATACACAGGACAAAATCCTGCCAGTTCTTTTGATACACAGGACAAAATCCTGCTAGACTTATGTAACACATGAAATCCTCCCAGTCGCATGATATATGGGAGAGGATCCTGCCAGTGTTATATAACACATGATGACATTTCCCATTTAGGGCCCACAAACCCATTCAAGGTTCCCTACACACAAATCGTCTTTATTTACATCATAATACATAAGCTGATAACTAAGAATGGTCATGACAGGTAAGTTGGGGTGATAAAACTGTCTGGGGATAACTTATGGGTTCGAACCTGGATGTGTCATACAAAGATGCTGGAAAGGCTATAATTATTATGATTCACAAGAACAAAATAGAGCAGAGTCATCATACTGAATATAAATAAATCCAAAAGTTGAATCTCAGACTGTTTGTGGCACAGACATCAAATTATGGAATCAGAACTCAATCAGATGAACCGATTAACATCGTAACAATTACAAGTTGAAATGTGATCTAGACAAGAAAAACAGAATCACTGCCTACAACTATTCAAACAGCCACACTAACTACAAAATCACGTCCACTAGTTGAAAGATCTGGTATGGCAGTGGTAGTCCACTCTGATGACAGGAAGCCATCGTCATGTCGCAGAGACCTGAAGGTTTGACAACCAGTCTGACGGAGATTGTGGATGATCCGTGTCCATCAAGGTATTCCCATCCATGTCCTTACCATCGAAAGAACGCTGACTGGATGACGGGGAATGGACTGGGGAAGTAGATGTTGGAGGTTGGTTGTCGAGTCCGTTATACTCCATTAGTGCATCCTTGCTACTCCGGCAGCTGTCTTTGGAAACTGTATCACAGAGGGAAAGATTAAGATTGCCACCACCGTTGCTGAGCCGCTGGGAAGATGTTGTGGCGGGCGGCTCTGAGGTGGCTTTCTCATCAGCTTGTTTTGAAGAGTCAGAAGGTTTGTCATAGGGTGGTCCAAGGACACCATCCCCTATGCCGAGTCCTTCCCTGAGTGTAGGATTCTGATTTGGATCAGCCAGGTTCTTCAGTAGTAGTGAGAACAGCTGAAGGAGAATGTCCGACTCTTTGTCCTGGACTAGGTCAAACTTGGAGGTGAACACCATGAAATGTGTGAAGACGGTATTGAGGTGGGCATGGAGGCCCAGCTGGCGCAACAACTTGTAGTGTGCGTGATAAATGTGGGCCAGAACATGGAACAGGTATCTGTGGATTCTCTTGACAATAGACTCCAGGTCTGGGGGGAATGGATGACCTGCAGGTGAGAGTTGATAGCATATGTAAATAGATCATCATTATAAACAGAATTCAGACATACTTCAACTAGCAACAATCTGTCTGACCCTGCTGGATTATAACTGGGATAAGACTTGACTAGAAACGCCACAGGAAAGTAAACCAGGACAAGAAAAACAGTAAAAGGTAAGACAAGACAGGACAAGATGAGGCAGGACAGGATATGACAGTATAATGTGAGAAAGAATCAGAGAAACAATGTCAAGATGAGACAAAGAACAATAATAAATATTACATGGCAAGACAAGATGAAATAGTGAAGGTTAGACAAAACAAGAGAAGCCATGTCAATGCAGGACAAGGTGAAAGATGGGAAAGAATGTAAGATTGGATAAGAGACAACAAGTGATGGCAAGACAGGACAAGGTAAGACAGGACAAAGTAAGACGCAAAGATAAGACAGGACAAGGTAAGACACGTGTAGATAAGACAGGACAAAGTAAGACATGTGAAGATAAGACAGGACAAAGTAAGATGTGAAGATAAGAGGACAAGTTAAGACATGTGAAGATAAGACAGGACAAAGTAAGACATGTGAAGATAAGACAGGACAAAGTAAGACACGAAGATAAGACAGGACAAAGTAAGATGCGAAGATAAGACAGGACAAGGTAAGACATGTGAAGATAAGACAGGACAAAGTAAGATGCGAAGATAAGACAGGACAAGGTAAAATATGTGAAAGCAAGACAGGACAAGGTAAGACATGTGAAGATAAGACAGGACAAGGTAAGACACGCGAAAGCAAGACAGGACAAGGTAAGATATGTGAAGATAAGACAGGACAAGGTAAGATATGTGAAAGCAAGACAGGAAGACAGTGTCATAAGATATAGTACAATAATACATTAGACAATGTGTGATAAACCAGAAAGGACAATGTCATAACATATGATAATACATAGTACAATGTGTGATAAACCAGAAAGGACAATGTCATAACATATGATAATACATAGTACAATGTGGGATGACAGAAGTCTGGATAAGATATGATACTATAAGAGTACATAAGTAAGTGTGGGACAAGATAAGACATTATGGGTGGGGCAAAATCAGACACAATAAAAATCTGGTACTGCAAGTCAATGCAAGACCCCCCCCCCCCCCCCCCCCCCCCAAAAAAAAAGAGAAGATAAAATATGACATGACCCAAAAAAAGGCAAGGCAGACTCACATTAAACAAGGTCCCAGTAAGACAAGACTAAAGATATAAATAAAATATCTGTATGACACATTAAGTCAAGACTAGATATAAATAAAATATCTGTATGACACATTAAGTCAAGACTAAAGATATAAATAAAATATCTTTATGACACATTAAGTCAAGACTAGATATAAATAAAATATCTGTATGACACATTAAGTCAAGACTAAAGATATAAATAAATATCTTTATGACACATTAAGTCAAGACTAGATATAAATAAAATATCAGTAAGACACATTAAGACAACATTAGACATAAATAAAATATCTTTATGACACATTAAGACAACACTAGACATAAATAAAATATCACTAAGACACATTAAGACAACACTAGACATAAATAAAATATCACTAAGACACATTAAGACAACACTAGACATAAATAAAATATCAGTAAGACACATTAAGACAACACTAGACATAAATAAAATATCACTAAGACACATTAAGACAACATTAGACATAAATAAAATATCTTTATGACACATTAAGACAACACTAGACATAAATAAAATATCAGTAAGACACATTAAGACAACACTAGATATAAATAAAATATCACTAAGACACATTAGGACAACACTAAATATAGATAAAACACGAGGAGGACAGAACAAGATAGCAACAGAGAATATAAGAAGCCAAAGACAAGATCATCATGCAGCTTGACCTAAACAGAGCCTAGCTCCTATCACAGTATGCCTGGAAGATACTCGGTTGCTAGGGACCTCATCATCCTCATACATTTTCCTACCCAAGGTGTCTGTTATTTCCATCTTCATGCTGGCCAGTTTCTATACCTCTTAGTCCTTAACATTTGTCTCCACCAGTGATCTTGCCAATCCATCTTAGCATTTAATACGGCTAAAGTATTTCAATTTCTCTGACAAGATGTTTAAGAGCCACATTTTCTTGATGATACAGATTTTTCAACATGTCATTATTTCTTTCCTTCTTGGACTATGGTAATGTGAGAATCTTTCTATAGTTCAAAAGCCCCAAGGTAAAGAAGATAGGATACAAGATAAAAAATAAAAAACCTACCAAACTTTGTTGGGAACACAGCCTCATCATTGATAACCTTCTGAATGTGAGTCATCACATAGTCGATGTACTGTGGGGCCGTGTGCTTGGTCTTCTTGCCTTTATCATCGTACCAGAAGTACTGACTGTAACACAACAATGCCAACAGTCAGCTGCTGAATAGGGTCGGGGGTGTGTGCATATGCGTGCGTGCGGGCAGGTGGTTAGGCAGGTGTGCATGCATGGGTGTGTGTGCGCGCACACAAAATGGTGGCTGTGTGTTTGGTCTTCTTGCCTTTATCATCGCACCAGAAGTACTGGCTGTAACAGAACAATGCCCACAGTCAGCTATAATTTCTTCTTCTTCAAGTTTATCAGTTGTAAACTCCAGCGCAAAGTTCCAGGTGTCAGTCCATTTGTGGACTTTGGTCTTGTTCCAGAACAGAAGTTTTGCGTGCAATTCAGTTTTACAGATCTGGCTTGTTTGTATGCAGACTGTTCGTTCCATGCCTCTCAGGCAAATGTGATTCAGTTTTGAAGATAAAACCCCAAAATAGTTGCACTGCATGACATGCTTGTTAGTGAAGTGAGGTGAGGGTCTACCCAGCCCCACCTCCCAAAACAACCACACGAGGGAACTGTTATCTGATGCATCTACTTCACAACTGCCACTGTCTGTGGTTTAGGTATTAAGAACGTGCATCAGAATTCTGTGGTACTCGGTTTGATTCAAGTTGCGAATGACTTGGCAGCAGACCGCCTTGCACTGATTTTGACAGGGGTATCAAGAGAGAGCCGTTCAGGATGTTAAAAGCAAACTACTGATGTAAAATTTTCTGGTAAAACCACAACATCCAACAAATGCTGGGGTTGATTCTGCAATGTCCTGTCAACACACACAACTATCTTTCACTTCACATATAAGTTCTCTCTCTGTATCTAATATATAAAATCTTTAAAACATGGAACTCTAACCTACAGCATCTAAGACAAGTTACATATTTTCAATTCTAAAGTTATTAAACTGTTAACATCTACCAGAGAAATTTGGAGAATCCCTTAAGATATGGAATGACAATTAAATGCAGTAAAAAAAATGATGTACATTAAATGGGATAAGTTCAAGAAAGGTTAACAACAACAACAACAAAAGAGAGAGAGAGAGAAATGTCAGGACAAGCATTTCTATCAACAGTTACAAGACAAAGAAGACTGCTCTATAGTGAGCACATATTGAGAAAAAGTAAGCAAAAAATCACCATACAAGTCATGAAATGGGAAAACAATTGGGTTGAGGACAGGAGGGAACCCAAGAGAAACCCTAGAATGAATGTTGCTGAGAGAGGCCAAAGGTGCTGGACTTGATTCAATACATGGTTTTGAAACAACTACAGAGGACAGAATGGTATGGAGGTCCAGACTGACAGCTCAATGTGACCTCTAATGATAAAACCAGATAATGATGATGCACATCTTCCATCACTCAGTGCTGTGGCTTGTAGTTTGCTAGCAACCAGTCACCAACAACCTATAATCTGAGTCAGTCTGTGCTGTGCTCAACCATGGCATGATATAGTTTGCTAGCAACCAGTCCCCAACAACCTATAATCTGAGTCAGTCTGTGCTGTGCTCAACCATGGCATGATATAGTTTGCTAGCAACCAGTCCCCAACAACCTATAATCTGAGTCAGTCTGTGCTGTGCTCAACCATGGCATGATATAGTTTGCTAGCAACCAGTCACCAACAACCTATAATCTGAGTCAGTCTGTGCTGTGCTCAACCATGGCATGATATAGTTTGCTAGCAACCAGTCACCAACAACCTATAATCTGAGTCAGTCTGTGCTGTGCTCAACCATGGCACAGTTTAGTTTGCTAGCAACCAGTCACCAACAACCTATAATCTGAGTCAGTCTGTGCTGTGCTCAACCATGGCACAATATAGTTTGCTAGCAACCAGTCACCAACAACCTATAATCTGAGTCAGTCTGTGCTGTGCTCAAACATGGCACAGTAATTGCCCTGACGTGTTTCTCGGATGATGAGAAGTTTACTACTGGTCTTACCCATCCTGCTGTTTCTGTAGTTGGAGAGGGAAATGAGAGCTCTGCTACTGTTTAATTAAAGATGATAATTAAGCATTAAGTCAGGGGTCTCTAGACAACCTCATTCCAATAGATCCCAGTCAGTGTTAGGATCTAGGCCACTGTTCGTGTCTTTTCTGTTTGTGTATATGTGTAGATGTATATATGTATGTATGTATGTGATAGGTATGTCTGTATATGAGTGCGCATGTATGATAATGTGAGAGCATAAATATATATATATATATATATATATATATATATATATATATATATATATATATATATATATATATATATATATATATATATATATATATATATATATATATATATATATATATATATATATATATATATATTATATATATATGTGTGTGTGTGTGTGTGTGTGTGTGTGAGTGTGTAAGATTGTGTACACATGATGTATGTATTATATTCTATAATGTATATTTTTATTCTATATCTATAACATGCATTTTAGATAACAGGCATTGGTACTCTGAAAAACGAGTGCTTAGAAGGGCCAAATGTCAGACGGGCCTGAGTGCCCAATTTGTAACCCTTTGAAAATAAAGTTTGTTCGTTCGTTCGTTCTTCAATCTATGGATCAATCAAAAGTGCAGGTGGGCCACCAAAAAGTTTTGCCTAATCATGTCATGGGGTTGGGTGTGGAGTTTTTCTCTTTCAGGATTGCAGTCTGTAGGATTAACACTCCAAGGATGAGAATTAACCTGGGCAGGTGATATTCCACATAACATGTCAGCAATACACACACACATCTTGATTGTCATTGACTCAGAAAGCATGTTCAGGAAGGTCATGTGAATCACATATTCAAACCTCTAAGCACCAGCAGACATCACATCTGTGACCTCAGATTTCACAAATAAACCACCATCTAAACTCTGGCACAAAGTTCTGGAACTTCATCCTTTACTGGACCAAGGAAATGCTTTCTAGAATTGAGCTTTGCGTGCACATCTGTTTGACAAATCTGACTTATCTGTTTGCAGACTGCAGGTCCCTTGCCTCTCAGGCACATACACTGCAATTGTGAATGTTACACCCTAATTAGTGGACATCAAAGACAAGATTGTTGTTATGGGACATTGAGTCCCACAATGGAGCTCTGGAACATAAAGGGGGAAAAAACACACCTGTCTTCTACACGCTGTCCCCATGGGCACGCATTCAGCCAACTTTCTGGTCAGACATTCAACCTAGAAGGAGGAAGAAAAGGAGAAGAAGACGTACAGTTTGCAGTTAAATACAGATGCTGGCTACTCACACATTGTCCGGACCAGTCATAGCAGAACAAACATCTGCTGTGCAATACTCAGAGACCACTCCGTAAAGCAGGTTCACATGGTTGAAAAAGGCTATCGCTGAAAAGAATAACAATAAATTCAAGAGTTATTATGATGGTAGTGGTGGTGGTGGTGATAATAATGCATTTTTTTTTTAGGAAGGACATTTTTCAGATACCTACTTTAGGTCAGGTTGACATTGTAGCCAACGCTAATTACACAAGTCTGCCTTGTCACAGATTTGAACCCAAGACCTTGGTACTGGTAGGCAAACATTCAGCCACTGCACTACCAACAGTTCCCATGATGGTAAGACTAGCTGGTTCTGCAGCAGCACTTGGTGATAAACATGTGGCAGCAAGTGACCAGAGCGGAGGCACAAATAGATGATCAGAGTCTGGAGAGAATCGTGCAGCGCAAACTGATCAGGCAATCTGGCCAACACTCAACACAAAGAGGAATGGTAATACGGGAATACAATCAAAGTGCTACCTGCACCACGGGAACTGGGAACAGTTTTGCTGGCTGCTGAAGATTTGGACAGCATGCTTATGGGATGTCATGATTGCTGTGATGTCAGCTGTTAACACAAACTCAACCCATGATGCTGGTGAGAATTTTAAAAAAAACAGATATAAATATCTACCTGCGGCCCTTTACAGGCCCACCTGCGGCCCTTTACAGACACACCTGTGGCCTTTTACAGGCACACCTGCCGCCTTTTACAGGCACACCTGCGGCCTTTTACAGGCACACCTGCGGCCCTTTACAAGCACACCTGCAGCCCTTTACAGGCACACATATGGCCCTTTACAAGCACACCTGCAGCCCTTTACAGGCACACCTGCAGCCCTTTACAAGCACACATGTGGCCCTTTACAAGCACACCTGCGGCCCGCACACAGGAAATATTCTGCATCAGTTTTTATCAAACGACTCCAATTAGGTGGCTGTGGCTCTCATGAGGACAAAATGTGACCCATATGGCCATCAGTTGGACCAGTTTACCCTATATGGTTAGAACGTTTCCTTCTGACCTCTGCCCTTCCGACATGATTTTTGTATGCATTATGGAGTCAGCGTGTTCAGACTTTGACGTGTTTAATGTCAATGTTAGTAACCGTAATCTTTGGTTGATGTGAGTCCGTGTGTGCGTGTGTGTGCGCGTGCGCGCACGTGAGAGAGAGAGAGAGAGTGTGTGTGTGTGTGTGTAGGTTTGAGCATTATTTTGCTTACTTTAAATAAACGTTTTTTTTTTTTTACGTTCACGAGTGCAGTTTTTAACGGAGATATATGTGCATTGTTGTTGAAGCTACGGAGCCCTAACTGTCAGCGATTCTCTCGGCAGCGAGTCCGAGCTATCTGCGATAAAGTTCAGCGCAAAGAAGTCGATACTGTCCACTTTCTTTAAAACGAAAATTAGTATTTCTAAATAGGTTGTATCTTGATAGACGCTTAACGGACTAACTAACCGCGCGAATGCCCTAGCACGGTTTGAATGGAGGGCAGTATCTAAGTTCCTGAACAGGATTTCTACCAATTGTGAACGGATTAGATGTGTCAAACAGTAGGAAGAGATCGTAGACAGGAGAAAATGTGAACTCAGATACAAACATCAAAACAGCAAATCTATAAACACCAACCCAAATATCTGGAGAAAAGATCAGGCGTTCATGTAATAAAATAAGATAACACTGCAAGCTAGGCCTGGCAGCAGATATGAACAAGGATGAAAGTTTTCCCTTGAAATAACTTCCCCAAAAACAAACGGACAAAGGACACACTGCTACTAATCTCTGCATAAACAGCCACGGCTTGTGTGAAGCCATTCTCTAGAGCAGCGGTTTTCAAAACTGGGTGCCGCATCACCCAGGGGTGCAGCAAGCGTATACCAAGGGTGAAGCGGCAATAATCAAGGTGTTTCGTCCTTTTCAGGACGAAATTACTTGTTTTTTGAAGCCCCACCTTGGCTTTTGCCAGGGGCCGTAATATAGGCAGGCCATAAATATGGCCAATTCTCTAAACGCGGTTCCTGGGACCTCTCCACGGTGATCCTCATCGATATGGTGGCACTTTGTGTCATCGGGTGTTTATCGCTTTTGTGGTGTCCTAGTGGGGTAGAAAGTCAGTCAATGATCAAGAATTTTCAAAAATCTGCTTGAGATCAGCGAAGACAGCAATTTCAAACAGAAATACTGTCAAGGAAGCCGAGAATAGTGCTGGATGCAGGTGTATTCAGAAAACAATGCTACTTGCAAAGCTACAGTACATTCTCAACGTACTCTTACATTAAAAAAGAAAACAAACACAGATACAGGAGCAAACTTTCTGATTCTGGGGATTCGAGGGTAAAATTAACTAAACCTACCGTACTTAAAAATAAATAATGAAAAATGCATCCAAACACTTTCATTCATCGCGTTAAAGATAACTGAATATTAGTTGTGCACTGTTTATCTTCTATTCCTAAGTATTCAAACCGCTTTAAGAGTCGTGTGTGTCGCGGGGGGGGGGGGGGGGGGTGGGGATGTCTGCCCGACAAGTGGGCCGCGGTGAAACAAGTTCTGAGAACCGCTGTTCTAGGGACCCATACCCCAGCAGACGGCGACTGCAGATGTTGCTTAAATACTAATTCAAATACATGGCTTGATACAAACAGCCAGGAAACATTGAACACACGGGCAACATGTCTCAGCAACATGACATGAACAACAGCCTCATTGTCCAGTTCCTGTTTCATGCGGAATTACTGACCATTAACGGACTGGATATCTAGCAAACTCAAAATGCTAACAGGGAAGACCAATCTGCTAAGGTCCTTCCTGGTCTGGCATGTTCGTGTTGGAAGGGACAATATCTAACAAACAATAAGAGTTGCTGTTATGTCAACAGTAGGATCTGTAAACATTCTTTGGGAACAAAATTAATGGCAAAAGAAACTATTGCCAATTCCTTTGACGTGCCTTGCTGTTATTGACTGCGCTAGTCGACGTCACACAATTACATACAGAAATCAATGAATGCATGCTCCAACGATGAAAACAAAGAAATTACATATTCGATACAATTTTTCGTTTTTTGAAACCACACCCTGGCTTTTGCCGGTGGCCCTGAATATAGCCGGGCCATAATTAAATTAAATTTTTTAGCACTTTCGGCAACAGATCACCGAAGTATTAATTAATTAAACATCTTGTCACGTGCGTTCAGATGGATTTAGATGCGTTACACGTTATCCTGTTCCTTTGTGAAGCGTGGTTGGTGGACTGTGCATTTGTTACCGGGCAATATTTCTGTGATTTTGGATAAGTCTATATTTTCTTTATACAAAATGGCAAGACAATTTTTTGAAGTTGATGAAGAACCGATAGAGTTTCTTTCGAGGAGTGATAGCGGTGACTTTGAAATGCCTACTTCTGATAGTGAGCAGGAAGATCTTACTGGGCTTGGGCCATCGACATCGACGGGACAAACCGGCGTGGCCGAGACAAAATTGTTTGCGTGTCCGACGTTCTCATCATCATCGGAATCAGAGGGTAGTGATGATGAAGTGCCATCAAAACTACATAAAAATGATCAGCTATCCTGGTCTTCCAACGCACATTCATTATGTTAAGTTGTTGTGGGGGAAAAAAACTCCTGTTGCCGAATTTCCCCTAATGTTAGTAGGAGAAATTCTACAGAAATATTGCAAGGAAAAGAGAAAAAGTGTAGGAGGACAAAAAAGTGAAGATCTGCCACTTCGTTGAGTACAAAGGCATTTTCCTTCACTAATACAGTCCGTAACATCACAGAAGAAATTCCCAACAAGAAAGTCTGTGGTATGCGCAAAAAGCAAACAACCACGGGAAACCAGATACATGTGCAAGGAATATGATTTGGCATTGTGTGTCGCACCTTGTTTCAAAATATTTCACACAAAAAGATATTATTAATAAAAAAAGAAACCATGTATTTGCTCACTTAAGTGTTTTGTGTTTGCTTTGTAAGTTTGTATTGTTTTCTTTCGGTTAATGAGTTTTAATGGCGTAGAAATAGAGCGTCTGACTTGTCAGCGCAAAGTTAAACCACACGCCTTCAAAAAGTTTTTATTTTTGGTGTACAATTTTTACCCCGCGCCGCAAGCGCGTCTTCTGCTTTTGGAGGGAAAAACGGTATTCGGCACAGAAAGAAAGATTAGCTGTCGTCTGGCTTAGCACAGTGGTTACGTTGGCTGGCGGAGGGCGTAGCAGCGAAAGGGATCAGGCCTAACGGCTGAAAGGGTTTTTTGGGACCTCTCCACGGGTGATCCTCTTGTGCATGGTGGCACTTTGTGTCACCGGGTGTTTATCGCTTGTGTGATGTCCTGGTGGGGTACAACGAGAGAGAGAGAGAGAGAGAGACAACAAAGAAGTGAAAACAAACAACAATAAATTGGAGCAACATAGATAAAACCACCTAACTGCAGTCACGTCATGTGACTTAACGACATATACATATATATATATATATATATACATACATATATAAACACACACATATATATATGTGTGTGTGATCTTTACAGAGCAAATGACTGTATAGATTGCACTAAATGGACACTAGGTGTCTCTCGGAAGAAAAGTGACGAGCAAGGAATCAGGCGCTGACCCCAGTTGTAGCTCCTACATGACAAGACCTAGTAATGTCAATGACCTAAACTGTCAATGGCTCCACGACCCTGGCAGGGAGACAATCGCCATGTGGCAAGTCATTCGCACTTGCCGTTTGTCATTTTCAGCTTCAACTCCGCTAAGTCTGTAATCTGAGCTCCCGATTAAAGTAGCGCGCGAACAAGTGTGTGTGACATCTCTGTCTATAATTCACGAATTGTGTCTCCCTCTAGTTCCGTTGTTCTGTGTGCTCCAGTAAACGTGTTTTCTACTTATACTATTAACAGGCTCTCTCAATGCACGCATCTTCAGAGCCTGCGTCCATTTCTTACTATGTGATTCGCTGAAATATGTCTAGATCTCTCCCCAAGACACAATGGTGATTCTGCATACCATGACCAGACTGCAAGAACCAAGTGATAGCTGTGAATCTGCAACCATGACCAG